TGCATAAAGGTCTAATTCTTTAAAAATTGGTTATGCTCATTAATCAAGAGTCATTACTTATTAAAGCATAATTACCTTCCTATACTCATAACATAATATTGCAAAATATATTATTGTCTTATAATTATTCTGTAGACAATATTATATTTTGTTTTCTATTTTTATAATAAATCATAAATCAGACAACAATAAATGATTTTCAATATCATACATGAATTATTTATATTAGACATTTTAGGATTCATGGATTTATTGAACACATTGTTTTTATTTATAGTGGCATTCAATTAAAAACAAAAATAGATCGAGATCCAAAAAATTTGATTTAATGTTTTTTTTTAATGAATTTCGAATAGCGTCATTCGCTCAATTGTATCTTCTATAACATGTTTTTTACATCTACCCATGATTCATAATTTCTAATTATTAACATAATAACCTATTTTTATAGTTAATTTATAACATTTTTTATGAGGTAAAACATCTAATAATTTAAATTTTATGCAGGTGGTTGATCCTGATTTTGCTTACTTAAACAGATTCTTATGATATATCTTTGTTGTAATATAAGTGGTTGTACGGTTGTATTGCATTTAAAACTAGCCCCCCCCCCCATACTAACAATAATCCATATTGGAAAATTGCTTCAAATAAAAATTATTAGTTACAGTGTCCAATTTTAGTACAATATTATATTGACACGAATTTTATAGATAATTTGTGTCTAATATATTTTTAGAATTTAGAAATTTAAAATAACCAATATTGGTGATAATGTAAATTTTAATCCAAAAAAAGTTATTGGAAAAAAAATGTCTTATTTTATACGAGTATAATAATAATATATTAATAGGTACAAAATACATTAATTGCCAATTTTTAAATACAATTTTTTTGTTTAATTATATACTTGTATGTAGGAGTGACTTGAAAACGACAAAATTATTTCTATATATAGGTATAATAAAAATTAAAAATAATTTATGGCCTATTTTTAAAGGTATTAGATAAAAGTCATTAATACTATTAGCATTGGTAGGTATACTTTTTATTTTACTACACAATCAAGGTCTCATTCCGATTTGGCGATTACTGTTAAACCGTGTAGCCTGTGTTAAAATTTTCTTTTATTCATTAAATTAAATAATTTAGTTTTGCTGCTTAGGTAAAGTTGTTAAACGATTCACTGCCTTTTTAAATACTAAATTAAATAACAAATATAATTTATCTGTTTTAAGTAAAAGTAAAACGATTTTTCCATTAATTAGTGACCAAACATTGAAATGACTATTTTTTATGGTTGATTTTTTTTGTTTGGTTTATTTCAAATTTTTGCTGATAGTAGAAGATAGTATGTTTATAGTATAGGCAGACAGGCAGTAGTCAGCAGGGCAGTAGGTACTTATTTAAGATAGATATATTGATATACATATATATATATATATATATAGTATATATATAGTGAATTGCCACATTGGTTATATAATAGCTTATACTACCAGTAGTCAGTGGATTATTTATGGGGGGGTCAAGGGGATCAATAAAAAAAAGCTTATACTTATCAGTCGGGTGAGAGGAGAGGGCGGTTGGATAATTGTTTTTATAGATCCTAGGCTTAAAGTGTTAATTCGATTTTTTAGACAAAAACGTTGGCTATATGGTATTGATGTAGCCTGTAAGCAGGGCCGGTTATAAAGGCGTAGGCGACGTAGGCATAAGCCTACGGCGGCAAAATTAATATTTATATAGAGGCGGCATATAAGAAAAGTTATAATAAAACAAGAGGCGGCAATTTTGATCTTTGCCTACATTTAAAAATTTGCTTGCACCGGCCCTGCCTGTAAGTAGACATTTGTAGTGAGTAACAAATATTTGTACTATAATCGGTAATTATTTGGATAACTTTTATGTACCTTCGAATTTCAATGGCTTATTCTTCTTACAGCCTTACTCCAATAGCTCAACCAAAAAATTATACACACCACATGTCTCGTCGCTAAGGCCCGGAGGGTGTATTCAAACCCCGTGACCAGTGACCACCTCTCCCGACCACTGCCAATCGAATACACACGTCGCACATGCCACGAATTAGTATAACTATAGTGAGATCTTTACAAATATCATAGTCCTCAGATTTATTCAGTTTTAACTTTTAAACAAATTCTTGTTAAGAAACGTTTTAACACAATATATTATATAGGTACAGTTAATTATTTGTCAGTTGTCTAGACATTTTACACGTTATTCGTATCCTCYATAGATTTATTTGCATCATGCTGATGTTATGATTTTTTAGAATAGTACTATTATAGCACGTTCCCYTTTCTCTAGTAACCCTACGGCCTACTTTTTTTTTTTTTATTAAATAAATTTCTTTATAAGATACAAATACATGATCCAAATATATACATCGATAAAGAATATATCTACTCCTGTAAGCCTAGGCTTGTGGTGGAGTTGAGCGTTAGCGAATAATCGTACATAAATTTTTTTGTCATTTAATAAGCCATAATGAATGTTCTTTTTTGATAAAATTGGCAATTGGTTAAAGTATGTTGGACCTAAATAATTTACAAACRATTTACTTAAAGTTATTATTTTAAGTACCTATATGTAAAACTATTAAAACAATTGAAACTAAACGAGTTATAGTCAAATACTAGTATATTATACACACATATGATCAAATTGGTAAGTTTAATGGTCATGATTGATTTAGAATATAAATAAGTATAATATGTACAATGTTATAAACCGGAAACGAAGCACAACCGGAGTCCGGAACACTCTGCGCTGTAGACTAGGGATTTCGATTGCATATAAGTAGGTAATTATTACTCACAAGCATTGAATATTGTTTACAGATGCCCTTGAACTGCACATCACAATGACAATTCGACGACTGGTTCAACACTTTAAGCAATGACCGCCGCGGTCAATGTCTACAAGAAACGGATACTTAAAACTTCAAAGATATTCAAGGTGATCCTCCAATATACGCTTATTTTATCTGTATATTATTGTTTGTTAGGTAATTATTATGTAGAATATTAGAATATCGGCGATGAGCCTGTACCATTACAACATTATTTTCTATTTTTCATCTCGATATTTTTCCAATTTACTAACCCTTATCATTTTATTTGTACTTATTTCAAATTTTTACGACATTTCAATATAGGTAGGTTATCTATCAACCAGTGTTGAATCCAGGTATACTTCAGGGGGGGGCGTTCGCCCCCCTGAAATTTCTTTCACTCCCCCTGACAAATACAACTTTCTGACTTTCAACAAAATGTACTTATTTATTAAATGTACAATACTAATTTAAATATAAATAATTAATAGGTTTCTTATTTATTTTGTAATTTTTTCAATATTTATAATTTCTGAATTGTAATAAATTATAATAATACAATTTATAATATGCGACGACATTAGATTAACCTTAGATTGATTTAAAAATTTAAAAATTAATAATTTGTTTTATAACTTTTTAAATATTTATAATTTCTGAATTGCAATAAATAATAATAAATAATAATAGGTAATACGATTTATAATGTGTGACAACCTTAGATTGATTTAAAAATAAATGATTTGTTTTGTAGTTTTATATAAATTTGAAATGTCTAAATTATAAATTGTGATAAGAATAACTACCTATTAATAGATATAATTCATAATACTAAAATGACGTATCACCATTCACCAATGGAAAAAAAGTGAGCCCCCTTCCCAGAAAAATTGTCTGGATTCAATACTGCTATCAACTTTAAGTTGCCTCATAGGCGCCCGTAGTGGGGGGGAAGCTGGGGCATTTGCCCCCCTGGCTTTTTCAAAATATTATTTTTAATTGAATGTTTTAAGATAAATTACTATATACTATACAACAAATTTAAAGTATAAAATATAATATACTGTGTACGAGTATAATAAAAGAGGTTATTATTTTAAAACACCTAGTAAAGTTATAATATTTATCCTCAAATCCAAACATTGCCCCCCCCCCCCAAAGAAAAATTTCTGCGGGCGCCTATGAGTTACCTTATTATGTATAAGATAAGTAGTATATTATGTACTACAATTTAAAATTTTTAATATAGCAGGTACATTGTGATCGGATGATTTATTAAACATAATGTTGAACCACTTTTTTCTTCAATAATTCAGCTAAACAAAATGATACATAGAATTTCTGTATTACTTATAGACCATATTTGATATTTTAGAATTCTTGAGCATTTTTGTACTACTCCTCTTCGAACTACGAATGAGTATATCGTGGAGATAGAAATTTCTGTTAATCAAATGAACCCTCCCCAAAATATATATCATTTTATTTATTCCTTACACATTTTGTGTATGCCAACCAACAAAATGGTGGTCGTCTCCGTGCTAGCTTCACGCTTCACTGATG